AAAGGACAGAGGACTCTCAGGTGCTGAGCTGGCCCTCAGTTTTCCAGCCACTCCTTCCCACCAACATTCCCTGTGTTAAAGATCCCAGCTTCATTTCAAGGAAGGTGGCATTTCCCAATATTGTCTGTGGGACATGGCAGGGAGGCATTTTCCAATTCCATCAAGTGTTGGGGCCTAGTGGTGGGGTATTAGTTGTTCAGGGTTGAAGGAAATAGTATGAGGCCATGGAAGCCATGTGGTATATCAGAGAAGCTGGCCAGCAACTCCCACAGCCCTTGATTCTCCCTCTGGGAGCATCCTCAGAGGTCTTAAAAGAGAGTAAGACCTCACATGGCCCAGAAGCCAGCCCCTTCTGCCCATTCACCAAGTTAGGCTTAACCAGTACAAAGTTAGGCCTACAACTGCCCTGAAGTCAATCTGCTGGAGGGTAGGGCACACATTCCTTGTGACAAGGAGGTGGTACACCTGTGGCCCAACATCAGTGAAACAATGGGGAGCCCAGAGAGTTCTGGCCTGCTGCTTCGCAGCCCAGCAATCACAGGAAGAGCCAGACTGGGTGAGGTCGGGGACTTTGTCAGTAAGACACTTAACCCTCTGGAAGCAGGTCTCAGAGTTCTTTCCCAGAGTGCACAGAGAAACCATAGCCTGGCCTCTAGTTTCTCTCCTTCTCTTCCCTTTCTTCCTTCCTCCCTCCTCTCTCTCACTGTCTCTCCCAAGCACATATTTGGGTAAGTGACTCTGCTAATCCCAACCAGGCAGACTAATACTGGCTGGCCTTGGGCCTGGTGCTGTGTGTCTATGTGCATGAGAGAGTCTTGCAAGCCCAGCAGGCTGTGTGCAGCCTGCAATCTGGGCAGCGAGCTCAGCAGAGCAATATACTCTGACACAGAGATGTAGCCTGTGTGAGTGGCCTGTGGGTGTTAAAATGCATCAAGGGTAGTATTCTGACTTTCTCGCAAGAGCTCTGGGCAGCAACCCGACCATACCAGTATCTAGGTGGCAGACCAGTCACCCTAGCCACAGGCCAAGAACATTAGAGAGGAGAGTCAACAGACTTCTGGGAGTCAGGCTTTGAGACATGGAGCCAAGAGAACAGAGTGTGTCTAGAGATGAGAGAGACAGAGATAGAAGGGGCTTTGAGTTTGACATATTTTCCACATAAATGTTCAGATTGTGAACATTTCTGTAATAGGTGAGCTTGAGAGAATATGGGGAAAATGAGGAATAGAGGGATAAGGGGTGGCTGAGAGAGGGGGAGAGAAATAGATTGAGGATCCTGACGTATATAGAGGGGCATGCGGTTCATGTGATGCGGGTGTTGGGGTCCTGTGGTGATGGGGGGAGGGAGTAGAGTAGTGGTAGGTAAGTACTGACAGTTAAGATGTGGAGTTTATAGGAATGTGCGAATAAGCATATTCAAGCTTCCCTTTTCAAGCTGTGCGCGTCACTGAGGCTGTATCCACAAAAAGTGGCTGCTGTGAGCTTTACTCCTTTCTCTCTCCCAAGCAGCAGCGGGAAGCTGGACGGGTGTTTCAGAGCTCTGCTCAGAAAAAGGACTGGAGACCTGGACCAGGAAGCCGCCAGCGGCTCCTGCATAGTGAGTGGTGCGGGAAAGCGCTGCCTTGGGCCGTCTCGCCATTCGCCTGAAAAGGGCAGGCTGCTTCCATTGCAGTTGCACGATTCCTGGCCCTCCATCAGAGACGAGGGAATTGCTCGCTTCCGCTGTAGGGACCTCCAGGGCGCGCCGGGCCGAATCGTGGGGAGAGCCGGGAGCAGGGCCCGCGCTCTGCCGCGCGTTTCTGGCGCCGCGTGCGCAGCCGGCACTAAGGTAGGAAGACCAGCGCGAGGCACCAGCGGCTCCCGAGCTGTACCTGCGGGTGCTGGCAGGCCCCCCGGGGAATCCCAAGTTGAAGAAGCTGCGAGCTTCTCACGGATCAGCCCCCCACCCCGTCCCTAGGAAGCGAGAGTCGCCCCGAAGTCACTAAACCTGAGACCTGCGTCTTCATCGTCAGTGCCTCGGGGAAAGAGGGGCAGCCCTGGGGCTCAACGTAGTCTCTACACCGCCTGCCATTCTGGATAGGATCCCGACCCCGCCAGGAAGCGAAACCATACCTAGACTGCCCAAGAAGGTTAGTAAGTAAACCCGGGGCACCCTACCGCCTCTTGGAGAGCCAGCCTTGACCGCCTGGAGCAGGGACCACAGCAAGGAGAGAATTCTGTTTTTACCGTAGGCTTCATGGCCAGCCCCAAGCCCATGGGCCTTGGAGCTGCTCTGACGATGATCACCTACCACACACTCCGCGTTGCGTTTCCTTGCCTGTTGGAACCTTCACATGCCAGGGAGCATTGTTACCGGATGTCTTGAGGAGAGACTGATCCCAGCCCCTCCTGGGGCCACATACTGAGCACCCCTTTCTCCATCTGGGCTGGGGTTTCTATTCCTCTTATGTCGAGAACCTTTAAAGTAATTCCTCTTACCCCCCCCCCCACACACACACACTCCTTTAAAAGGCTGAAAAAGGAGCCAAGTGTGGAATTCAGGGAAGTGATGACACACACAACAATGCTGTTACACCTGGCTGCTGCAGGGCTGAGCAGCGGAAATGCCTTCCTGGAGGAAAGAGAGACAAGGAGCCAGCCTGGGTGGTCAGAAAAAAAAGAGGAGAGGCAGAGCAGCCCTGCCAGGGTGGGGCCTGATCCAGCTGTTTTCTCCCAGATTTGGTGGAGGGCATGGACACTAGGGCCAATCTTCAGCAGCCCCAAACCTGACTCACACCACTCCCACTCATAGCCTGGGCACAGATGGGGGTGAGGAAGGAAAAAACCACCCACAGTCCTGCACAGGAAGTGGTCACAGGGGTTTAAAAGAAGTGCTGTTTGTCCCATCAGTGTGGGAGCTGGGGAAGACAGCCCAAGAAAAGACTCAAGCTGCTTTGAGATGTAGGCCATCTAGGGGTGCGAGCAGCTATTTATTGAGGTGAGTTCAGAGACCCTCCCATTCTGGTGCTCAAGCCAGACTGCCCAGCTGACCTCTCTGGAGTCATCCTCAAGAAGCTAAATTCTAAAGAGGCCCCTACCCTGTCCTCCCTCTTAACACAAAATTCAGACCAGAGGCCTGAATAGGAAGCAGGTAAGTGATACACAGGTGATCTGTGGAATGCTGGGGCTATCACCTACTGTAGGCTCCTCAGGCTTCCAAGGACTCTCAGAGATTGAGTAGCCTGAAAAAAAAGAGGTAGTTGACAGGCACTGAGTGGAGCATGCCAGACGTGCCAATCACTAACACACCTGCATGACATCCATTCAGTCCACCTTCCTCCACAAACTATCTTAGCTTTCCTCTTAAGAGCCACACAAAACACTGGCCATCTCTTTCATACTATGATTGCAGAGTTTTTGTTAATGCTGAGTTAACCATTAAAAGGCACAGCTGACTTTTTCACCAGTGCTGATTTCTCCTGTGATAATCTCTGTACATGCTGATGTGGTTGAGTCCCAATAAGACTTCTGCTGAAGGCAGGCAAGAACTCAACCCTCAGTCCTGGAGAAAGAAGGTCAGAACAAATGTCTTGTCAGGAGAGAAATTTGAACGAGTGTCTACCCTCAACCTGTTTTTCTTCCTAGGCTTTGATAGAATATATACACTCAGAGGGACAGCAGCAGGGGGGAAAATGAGAAAGAAAAGAAGAGAAGAGAAAGAGAGAAGAAAAAGAAAAAAGATGCTTATCTATCAACCACATCTGCTCTGACACGTGATACACATACAGCATTGTATACGTATAACTATAAATGTGTTTTAACCTGTAAATATAAAACTGACACATTGAACATGTGCATAGCTGTGTTTCTGCACCAGCACAAGTGCACCTGGGCAGCGGCTACGTGTTTCAAGGACAGAGCCTCCCTACCAGTTCCATTTGTGTTCCCTGTGCATATTCATGCACAGTCCCCAAAAGCCCCACGGAAACATTCGCACTTGTGTGCCCATAGGAGGGAGAAGGAGGTCTACTGGGTATTAAAGCACATACCCAATATGCATTCTAACCCAAAGGATTGCAACGCAGAGGGGCCTGGTCCCTGGTACCTAGGGCAGCTCAGAGAAGGATCGAGACTCCGCAGACAGCTCTCCTGGGCGCCTCCTTGCAGTGTCTTCCCCACCCCCATCTCAGCCCAATCACTCAGTGAGAGCAAGGGATAGGACAGGCCTAGGTTTCTTCGTTCATTGACACTCTGGTTCTGTGCTGGTTTAGCCAAAGCCACCAAGCTGCTCTTTCTCGCGTCCAGCCCCCTCAACGTCCCGCCCCTCTCAAGTCGCGAGGTGGAAGTTTAGCCCCAAGACAGCAGGTAAAGACAGAGATAACGAATCTTTTTTTTTTTTTTTTTCACCTGAAAGCTGTAAGGAGGTCTGGAGCGCCGCTCCTCGCTCGCGCCTCCCTGGGCTCGGACCGTGACGTGAGCAGGAGGACCCCGCCGAGGCCCTCGGCATCTCCCGGCTCAGTCCCGACTCAGTCCACACAGCGAGCGAGCTACGGAAGACTTCAAGGGCTCGTGAGAACGTGAGCCTAACTGTCCGCCGGGCCCCCGAGGCTCGCCGGACGTGGACAGGCCGGTCCCTGCTATGCGGGGCGTTTACAAAAAGTGTCTTGGAGATGAACTCTCCCGTGCACGGCTGGCCGCCCCGCTATAGGGGCGAAGGCGCCTGACGCAAGCGGAACTCGGCAGAGCCCATACGAATCAGAACAGAGAGAGGCTCCTGGCGCACTAGGGACTCCAGGAGGCAGCTCCGCCGGAGACGCGGGTCTTGCCTCGGGAAACCGGGGGGTGAGGGGAGGGGGAGAGCGCAGAAAAGAAAACCCACCGAGGCGGGGACTGGCCTGGCGGGGAGGGGCGGCGGGGCCGGAGCCCCTCTATGTTGAGCAGACTCCCCATGGCCAGAGGCTGAGCTCCAGTCCCGTCGGCCGCTCCCTAGGGGAAGGGAAAGAAGAGGCAAAAAGAGCAAGAGGCAGTGAGCGAGCGAGCGCGGGCGGCATCGCAGTCTGCATAAGTTTGGGACTTGTTCGCCTGGACACTTCGCCGCGCCAACGCCTGGAGAGGAAAGCAGGGGCGGCCCGGCCGCGGCGGCCCGGCTTTGTCATGATGACCAGCTACTCTGAGCATGAGGACTCCGCGGGGGCCCTCCTGGCCCCGGAGACTGGCCGCGCAGCCAAAGAGCCCGAGGCGCCGCCGCCGAGCCCAGGCAAGGGCGGCGGCGGCGGCGGCGCCGGGACTGCCCCAGAGAAGGCCGACCCGGCGCAGAAGCCCCCGTATTCGTACGTGGCGCTCATCGCCATGGCGATCCGCGAAAGCGCGGAGAAGCGGCTCACTCTGTCCGGTATTTATCAGTACATCATCGCCAAGTTCCCATTCTACGAGAAGAACAAGAAGGGCTGGCAGAACAGCATCCGTCACAACCTCAGCCTAAACGAGTGCTTCATCAAGGTGCCGCGCGAGGGCGGCGGCGAGCGCAAGGGCAATTACTGGACTCTGGACCCAGCCTGCGAGGATATGTTCGAGAAGGGCAACTACCGGCGCCGCCGCCGCATGAAGCGACCCTTCCGGCCGCCGCCCGCGCACTTCCAGCCCGGTAAGGGGCTCTTTGCGGCCGGAGGCGCCACGGGCGGCTGCGGCGTGCCAGGAGCCGGCGCCGATGGCTATGGCTACCTGGCGCCCCCCAAGTACCTGCAGTCTGGTTTCCTCAACAACTCGTGGCCGCTGCCGCAGCCGCCCTCGCCCATGCCCTACGCCTCCTGCCAGATGGCGGCGGCCGCAGCAGCTGCAGCAGCGGCGGCCGCTGCTGCTGGCCCGGGTAGCGCCGGCGCAGCCGCGGTGGTCAAGGGGTTGGCTGGCCCTGCTGCGTCTTACGGTCCGTACTCACGCGTGCAGAGCATGCCTCTGCCCCCAGGCGTAGTGAACTCGTACAATGGCCTGGGAGGCCCTCCGGCCGCGCCCCCGCCACCGCATCCCCATCCGCACCCGCACGCACACCATCTACACACGGCAGCCGCACCCCCGCCGGCCCCACCGCACCACGGTGCAGCCGCGCCGCCCCCGGGCCAGCTCAGCCCCGCCAGCCCGGCCACTGCTGCGCCCCCGGCGCCCGCGCCCACCAGCGCACCGGGCCTGCAGTTTGCCTGCGCCCGGCAGCCAGAGCTCGCCATGATGCATTGCTCTTACTGGGACCACGACAGCAAGGCTGGCGCTCTGCACTCGCGCCTGGATCTCTAAGATACCACGGCACAGCGGCATGGATGGATGTGAGGAAGCAGGCAGGGACGCACGACGCCGGCCTTAGTCGTAGCCGTTGCCGCCAACTGGACCGCGCGCTCGGAGCGGCGGCCTCCGGAGCCAGAGCCCACGGCCCCACGGCGCTTCCTCGCACCTCTCAGCTCCCGGCTCTCTTCTGTTTCTTCGGCTTCGCCTCCTGTGCGCTCATCTTTGCTCTCCATGCCCTTGGGCTTCCCGGGCCTGCAGGCCGCCTCTCCGCGCCCTTTCTGCTTGTCTCCTTTCCGCGCCTGAGCTGGACACCTTGAGCCAAAACTCGGCGTAGAGAGAAATCACCCGGGGTCGAAATGCAGCCGGGCGCCAGCAGCGCAGACCCCTTGGCCCGAGATCACAGATCGGTGCGTTTGTGGTCAGTTTTCCCCGCCCGGCTGCTCCGTAGTCCTTGCCTAAAAGCGCCGCGCTGGGCGGGCAATGGGACCGGCGCCGCCGGAGACGAACGTGTCTGTTCGTTCCACGAACCCTCTTGGAGCTGTTTGGAAGCCTCTCTAGGGGCCCACTGGGCGAGCCGGGGGTGGGCCCGAGCGGCGAACCGGGGCCGCCTAGCTCCGCGGCCGGACCCTGGGTGTCGGGTTTACACCACATCCCGGCTGGGAGGGAAGCTGTGTTTCCTAAGCTCGCTATCCCGGCGCTTCAGGCACCTCCAGGCACGGCTGCTGGCTAATGTTTTGCTACAAAAGACTTTGGGGCTTTTTTAGATAATATTAAAAATATTTTTGTAATGAAAAAAAAAAAAAAAGAGAAGAAACACATTCACCGGGAAAACCGGTGAAGTATTGTTTGCTAGAGTAAAACATGGAAATCAAAAGTGTTAATGACCTCCATCTTCTCTTCTGGGAGATTTGAAGAATTCCTGTCAGGCCTTCAAAAATCTGTGTTCTGGAGAGATAGGAGAAAATGCTCAGTAAAAGATTATTTCTTTCACGAATTGAAAATTTCCCATCTTCCCATCTAAAGAAACCAAAACAGAACAAATTTTCCCCGATCTTTCGATGCAGGCTGGGTTTGCCGGGAACTCGCGGTCTGCGTGGTGGATGCTACAAGGATAGCCATTTTTTGTTTGTTTTCTTTTTTGTATTTTTTTTCCCCAAGCGTCTTGCTTCTCCCACCTTGGAGAGAAGGAGAAATGTGAAACCTGGCAGCAGCCAGCCTAGACGGCTTGTGGCCCCCCAAGCCAGCAGGCCGAAGTACCCTAGACATGGTTGTTCTATAGTGTGTTGTTTGGGGAACCAAATTTTCTAGAGAAAACTAGAGCACTTTTGTTGTATTTCTTAGCCTTGTCAATTCCCGAATAAATTTTTGTTCTTTCTTTTAACATGGACTGTCTTTCCATCGCGCCCAAATCTGTTTCACAGCTAGTTAAAAGAAGTTTTCAGCAAAATGTTATCCTTCTTCATAGTGATTCAAACAAGGGTTGAGACAAGAGAGAGGGGGGCGTTTGTGGTGGTCTCTGGTGCTTTGTTTCCCGGAATTTGTTTGTTTTCTGTGTCATGGTTGTTTACCGTTGTGCTGTTTAAGGTCTTCAGAGACATTTTACCTAACAGGGTTCATTCACACCGCCGGACTGTAGGTAGGATTTACTCTATTTTTGCACTCGTTCAAGTATACTTAGACTAGGTGTGTGGCCTGTGTTCATTATATTGTTCTCATACTTTGAAATTTTTGAGTTTCAGAAAAGTTTATTCCAAATACATAAAATCCTGGTTCTGGAAATACTCCGTAAACTGCAAACCTCTGTACAAATGTAAGGCAAGATAGGTTACCTTATAATTTTTAACAATCAGAATTCATTTACCTTGAGATAAGAGGAAAAGGTTTGGGAGTTTCAAGAAAGGGACATATAGCGGGGCTGCAGAAATCTGATTTTCTTTCTCACTTTCTTTTTAACTGAGACTTTTCGAATAACGAATTAAAATCAATGCTTCTGCTCAAGCCTCCAAGCATTTGACCAGGTTCCGATCCGGAGCTCTGAGGGTTAGGGGTGGGTCAGCCTTCAACATTCTAATGGGATGATAGTTATCAACCAGCGCTGACCCTGTGCCCAGCCACATATCTCCGAAAGGTCTCTCCTAACCCCGCCTGCAAAATCCAGAGGGTAGTGGTTTCTGGTCTAGGCCAGCAAGCAGGCCAAGAGTGACTGTGAGGCTGCAGGGAACCAACAACAGTGCAGGCCCCTCACTTCAGTCCACTGGTAGTCTGACTGTAGTGGGAAAACGTGTTGTGTATAGTTAGGCCCAAGAGGAAGTGGCTACCGCTCAAGAGCCCCCTCCTCCCTCAAGCTTCCCGAGGGAGGGTGGAAGGCCTAGATGACTTGGTGATTCTGAGGGGCATCACCTCTGACTAAGACCAGAGACTACCGGAATGAGTTAGCTGTAGAGGGAGGGAGAGGGGAAATGAGCAGACTGGAGAGGGAGGCTCAGTTGCCGAGAGAAGACTGAAAGGCTAATCAGGCCTGGTTCAAAGCATTTCCCTGAGAGCTCACTGCTCCACTATCTCAGTACGGAGAGTTACAGAGTAAAAAATGGGCTGCTGCTCACTTGTCAGTGTGTGCTTTCTGTGGTGTGAATATGATTCTGTGGCCAATTGTGCAGCCTGTGCCTGCTGCAAATATGTGTGCACAGTATCAGTTGTGTGCTGGTGACAAGGTGGGAGGTGTATGCGTCTGTCATTCTCCTGTGGAGGGGGCACAAATTTGGGGCATTGTAATAATCACATGGCTAACATTTAAAGAGTGCTTCCTGGAATGGACAGTGTGTTGCATTCACATCTCATTGATGATGTGTGCAGCTATGTTCCAGGTGTATTGTCTTACTGGCTGAGAGAATATGTGTAAAGCCTTCCCTTTCCCTTTAACTAGTAGAGGCTCCCTGTTCCAAAGCTGTCAGGACTCTCCTTCTAACTGTGATCCCAAGCAGAGAAAGCAGGGGAGTTCTGCTGGGACCTAGCTGTGGTGGCCACACAGCTGTCCACCTGCAGTGAGGTGAGACAACTGGCTCAAGGTAGTCCCCAGGAACCGAAAGGTAGTAGGCACCTTAGGCTGAAGAGAGAGTGACTATCTCAAATAGGGATGATGAAATGAAGGACGCATGAGGGCTTTCCTGTTTGCACTGGGACTGGAGCACTTAAGAAAAAGGAACTAAATTCTTCCCCAAGGAAGCTCTCAGGAAAGCATTTGTCTCCAATTGCAGCCTTAGGGGTTTCTACAAGGCTGTATGGTTTGGTCATTTCCCCCCAGTACGAAAAGTTTGGGTCAAGGGCAGACTTTCTTTATTTCTCTTTTCCTTTTTGTGCTCTCCTGCCTTTGCACTTTTGAGTCTCTCCTAGAAAAGCTGATTTAAGGAATTCCCTAAGTGAAGGCAAAAGTATTTGAGAGTTCCTGATATGTAGCAATTATGCCTTAGCATATATAGTCTGGTCTAGATGCCCACATGAGTGTATGGATATTATGTTTGCCTGCATGTACTGTAAATACAAAGTAAATAGAGTTTAAAACAAAAACCCTGCCAATTCTGTATGTTCTGCGTAATGAGTTGCTACACATGGTATTGACTGTGGAGTGTGAGTATGTGTGCATGGGTGCTTGCTCTTGCTCACGTAAACATCTTCACACCACTGACGCCATGAGCCACCCCCTCAAATTTACACTTTGATTCTGACAGTCACCTCTGCTCCCTTAAAACTGCCCAGAGTACTGGGTTCTGAGGCAGAGTTCTGTTCAGAAGGGGGAGCCCAGGAGAGGTCTTTGCCAGCACCGTATGTGCCCCAAGGTACTCTAGGACCTAGGAACTTCAGATGGCACCATACCCTACTCCATAGGATGACCTGGTCCTGTTTCCTCCTTGAATCAGTAAGGAGTTTGCTTTCCCTAGATGCTCTAGGTGGACAAGAGGCCCAGGATCCTACCCCGGAGGTTTGGTGCCTTCAGCCTTTGCCCAGGTCTCTGTGCAGAGCCCCCTGGCGGTGGGAAGGAAATCAGAGGCAAATGCAGAGCTTCCTACAGCTGAACCAAAAGGAGAAGATGAGCCAGGAAACTGGGTGTGAGCCAAGACTGTTGGCCCTGGAGTGAGCTCTTCCCTTAATGGAGGCCTGGAGCATCAGAACTGCCAACGTGCACTCCAGGCCTCTGGGAGAGGGTGCAGGTGAGCAGGAAGCGCTCCTTCAGGTTCAGCGGTCCTGTAGTGCCCCTTCTCTGTGGAGTTAACCCAGTGGTACCATGTTCTGAGGCCCTGTCCTGTTGACCCTGCATCTGGTAGAAGAAGCCAGGAGCATTGGGCAGACGCTGTAGGAAGAGATGAGACCAGGAGCCCATATAATGGTGACCAGGGACCTGGAACGAATAGGAACAAACTTCATACCCCCCAGTTCTGCCTTAGGGACAACCAGAAATTAAGGATTCTTGAAACCAAGCAGTAGCAGCTTTCTGCTTCCAGGAGTAAGGGTTCTATGCTGTTACAAAGAGTGTCTGGAGCCCAGAAACCCTAAATCTCTTCCTTTACATTTAAGGAAACTGAGGTCTTGAGAGGGCAAGGGGCTAGCCAGAAATTACTCAGCTGACTGTGAAGCAGAAGTGTCAGAAAATTTTAAGCAAGACCCAGAAAACGGCTGAACCCCAGCTGCACACTAAGTCTCGCTGAGTAGCACTGGACTCCTAGGAGGGGAGCTCAGTGGGAGACAGGATGACAGGTTCACCAAAAGGGAAGAAAAAGAAGGGCTGACCTGGGTCTGAGTTGCACGCAGAGGGCGCTGGAGGAAATGCTGCTGTGTGCAGTGTTTGCCTTGCAGTTCTCGCATCGGTGATGAGCTGTGGCTAGTTTGTTCTGGGACCAAGGCACAATGAGAAGGCGACTGGTGCACAGTGAGGTACAGGCAGGGACCTATGCAACCACGCCCAGCTGGAGTAGAGTCCGGTGTCCCCGTTCAATAACTGCCATCGTGGGCAAAACACG